CTGGAACAGTCGGCCTTTTCTTTACCCTTTATCAGTTCTGTAGCAGTCAGCTGTTCCTTGTTGCACAGGAATAAAAGCTCAGTTTCAAAAATACACAGGAACAAAGCTGTAGAAATCGCCTGAAATTTCCTCCATTCTCAGACACGTGGTTTTCATTGCCTTGCCTTTCTCCCCACTCCTCCATACGTGTTTACCAAATCTTTTCAACACACATTGACCAAGCTATTGAGCAGCTATTATTACTAACACAATATGCCAATCTTTTTCTGTCTTTTGCTAGAGTATGTTGACTTAACATGAACTGCTCATGCTGCTGCTTTTATAAAGAAGAGCAATTACATCTCATTAGATGATGACTTCCTCTGTATTTTGGGTTGTGGAGGCTAAGGAAGACACTTTGAATGTGAGCCATTTTGTTGTCAAAAACAGTGAAGTCAATACTGAAATAAGTTTTTTTGTGTGACTATTTTTAGAGCAAGTTAGAACGGAAACAGCAATCGGCAAAACAGAGCGATCTGCCTGCACATTTCAGAGTTCAGAGAAGAAACTTTTCAAAGCTGAGCAGCTATTCTATGTTTACTTCTAGGAAGACTGATGCTGTGTTCAAGTATCACTGTGTAATGTAGAAAGTGGTGTATCTCTGTTGACATAAATTTAATGACTGAATTACAATGGTCATAATCTTCATTCCTTTCTGTCTGGGACAAGAGCATGCTGTCTCACAAAATATCAAAGCAAAAAATACACTCTTTACAGAAGTAACAATGAATGGTATACCATCTTTAAGATAGGAAATTTTACTCTCTATCAACCAGTTACTAACTACAAACTCAGCAACCATCTCCGTGGTGTTTAACTATTTCCAAGTTCAATACACATGAGAAATTTTGTTTTATTGCATTCCAAAAGAAAAGGGACTGAGCTCTTTTTCTGCCATTGTTCTTCTAACAGCAAGGAAAAAATCTCTCAATTTCTAAAACCACAGGAAACTCAGCAGCTTCAGGGATTGAATATGGATAAAATCAGCCAATTTTTTGTGCAACTTTTCTTTGTTCCAAAAATCTTTTGTAAGAATTCACGGCATTAAGATTTTGCTGACTTCATATAGCCACGACTCCATTTGAAGACAGACTTCTTTTGTTTTGGTTTGTCCTTCTCTTACATGGGCCCAGAATAGCAATATACTAACACATTAGGTCAGAATTGCAACATAAATTATAAAATTATTTCAGGTGCTATACAAGCACTGTCATCTCTCAGGTGCATAATCTGAAGCGTTGTCAGTATATTCTAGTTTTTAACATATACAGGAGACACAAGAGAATTCTTAGAATAAAAAAAATAATAATCTTAAAAATTAGCATAGTGACACCATTTCAAAGTGAAATGTTAACTGAGTATTGAAATCTTTTAGTCTATCCACCTTTATTCTTAGCAAGGAACACAGAGGACAGCAACACTGGAGACCCATTACCAAAACTTATCTTCCATGTCCAATATGAAAAACAACCCAAAATCTAAATGAAAAAATAACTAATTCTTTCTATGTTGTCTGCCTTCAGGTGTCCTGGTTCTCCAGAAAAGCTAATTAGATTCTGTTGTTCAATAGAACTTTTATTTATGTGTAGGTAATTAAACCATGCTCCCTTTGAGATGCTAAGAAGAATGACACATATAAAAAAGAGTACCCACAGCACAAACATCTTCATGATTAGAAGTTCTAAATCTTAAAATATTTTCACTCTTAAACTAAACAATACCTTAAAGGGTACTGAATTCTAGACATAGCCATGCTGTGCTGTTTTGGTATCAGAAGCTTTACTGGAATAATTTCTCTAACTATACCAGGAGAGAATTTTCATTTTCTTAGGTAAGATTTCTTCATGGAGTGGATAACATCCACACATCTTTGGAGACATTCATCACTCTCTTGATTGCCCTCTCCAGTAGATCTCTTCCCCTGCCCTCAAAACTGTGTACTCCAAGTCACTTACCTGTCACACACATTTTAGGAAAGTGCTTTTTATATTTTAGCTGCTGTTAATGGAATTTAACAGGTGGAAAAAAGAAGGAAGAGCCAACAGTACGAGACCAGCCGGCTTCTTCAGGCCATTAGTAAAAAATCTGGGAACTTTAAGTGGTTCGCAGACTTCGTTTTGGAAACTTTCATCATAGAGACGTTAAGTTCATAACTACATGTCAAGTTATGGACTTGTGACTATATAACAGTGATACTTTCATCAATGTCATTTTGAATTAGAATCTTGGAACACTGTTTTCCGATCAGAAAGAAACTCTCGAACCTTTTAAATTTTCCTCATTTATTCTCTTCATAAGTCTTAAGATTGCTGTAAATAATAACTGTAAAGTATTGATCTTTAAATATTAAATAATGAGTTTAATGAGTATGGATAAGCATATTTAATAAAATATCATTTAGCATTCAGGGTGCTTCAAAAGCTTGTAGGAAATAAGTAACTTTACTTGTTCCGGCTTGCTTGTAGCTAAATGCAAGATGCATCCATTTTCCTTCTTGCCTCTGTTCTCTATCAGTCATGCTCCCTGCAGTGTGAGTTTTAGGCCTCCTTGCTCTTACCAGGGGAGCCATTTGCAGTACATTTACTGTTCTTGCTCCTGTGCCACTTAAATCTCTGCAGACAGGCAATTTCCTCCAGACTATGGGGGGTTGGAGGCAGAGGAGATGTATATTCAGGGAATAAAATTATTTCCCCATTTTCTTGAATGCAGCCCTTGAGATGGACAAAAGCTCCTTGGCCTCTTCTCGCCTGCCTTGCACCTACAGTATGATTATCTTACCATGGATGAGCTGAAGCATAGTGTAGTTGAGCCCAAGGCAGCTTTTAACTAGCTCCATACTGACAGCCAAGTAATTGCAGTGTTGCAAAGCTGTCACACAGGCCAGTTTAAAAAATACACAGACAAATTCTCAGGCAACTTTTGTAACAAAACTCACATTAATACTGTCCTGCATGAGCCTACCTTAGGTTCTGTTTTGTTTTTTAACAGTGAATATTTATTTTCCCTGCTAGAATTGAGGGGTGGTCAATTTCCTACCACACACTCTTGGCTCCAGTAACACTACCTATCAGTTACAGAGTAATTTTCACCTAGAAGGTTCTTTTCAAGCATTAGTAAAAATATTTGTGTGTTATCATGAGTAATACAGAAGATCTAATGAAGTCATAGAGAGTGGCAATATTCTCCTGAGTAAATCTTGTTTTGATGAAAAGCATTAGCCATTCTTGTCACAGAACTCAAAATCTGCCAATCAAACTAGTATTTCCATCTTCATCATTCTTATTGTTTATATATAATGTCTAATGCCATCTTTCTCTGTGTATGCCAAACCGATAAATGTATGTGTCCAATTAACTCTAAATAGCCTGCTGTCATATAAAGCACATGTATTTACATTATCTATATAATCTCGAAAGAATATCAAGCATTTGGGCAATGCTGAGTCTTCTATAAGGTCCAAAGTTATAAATAAATTTATTTCACGTCTGCTACGCTACCATAAAAGAGTAAATGAACTCGTGTACAGCTGCAAAAAAATATAAGACGTATATAGTGCAGATACCTTGAAGATTTCAGAGGTCTAGTTCTGTCTAAGTAAACTACGGAAACTTCGTAGCAGGTAAGAGTTATATTCTGTTGTAAAAGATTTAAACGTGAAATTCTGCAGTCTTTAGGGTCAGGATTTTGGAAGCTTTCTGAGATCAGAACAGGTTCTGCAAGCTTTCTTCTTTCTGTGAAGGGGAAAGTTGCAGAATTCTGCTTAAACTTTAGGTAATTCTGGGTAAAGTTGAGCTGATACATAGAATTTTTGACTGCAGAACCTAAATAGCTAAGCAGCCTGAAATTTGCCTTTTGGTGTTTTTACCACTGCTTGGTACTACTCAGTTAACAAGACTGCAGCCTGAAGAGGCTGTAAACCCTTGCAATCTGAGAATACATGATAGATAGGGTCCTGAGAACCCCTGCAGAAGACCTGTTGAGAGTCAGTGACAGGACATGGCAGCAGTCCCTGTGTGTAGATGCCCTCTGACTGAGCTCCCACTAGGGCCAGTCAGTACACGAGTCTGTCCACAACGTCTAGCTGCTTCCTGAGCACAGTGTCCCAAGGAGAGCACCGCTGAGCTAAGGAACTAGCTCTAGTAGGTTTGAGGGGCCCTCAGGATACAAGCCAAGTTCCTTTTGGTGTCCAAACCAAATGCACCCACGTCTCCAGCAGCTGCCCATCTGTGACCACTGCACATGGTTCCGGGGGCTCCCTGTGCAGCATGGATCATAAGTGCCTTATTAAATTATTCTGTTCAAACCCTCATAAACCTTGAGCTTCTCTCTCCCACCTTGCAGTCACAGCATGCAAAGACGTTTAGTCTGGGGTTCCAACTTATTTAAAGGTTTTTTTTTCCATACTGTTAGTGTTGTTTAAAAGGCTCTGGACAATATAGTAAACTACAGTCACCCCACACTTCTTTAACTGTTTTTCTTTGTTCATAGAAGCTTCAAAATCCACTAAAATACTCTAATCCACTAAAGGATTATTCTAAACAAGAACTGATATTATCACCTACATTAACAAAGTTGCCCTAGTTGCACTGTACAGATTGAAAGACCACCATGGATTATCTCCTCCAAACCTTTATACTGCAAGCAGAATTTCGTTCACATATCTGTGCCCACTTCACATCCATTAAAATGAATCCCAAGTGGATGTAAACAGAGGCTCTGTTGAATCCAAACTGCCAAGTCTGCAGTGCTACAATCTGCCTAAACATGCTGGGCCCTGAGATTTACTTATGAGCTGCTGAAGAAATTTCAGTAATGCCCAAGCATCCTATCCAAACAGGAAGCAAACATCCTAGCCTCATGGAGAGGTTGCAGATAACTTTCTAAACTTCAGACAATGATTATACCTATCCCAAATCAGAGAAAAAAAGATGCGTTCTTGAGATAAGATAAAAAAACCTTACCTTGGTGGGCATGGCTCCAGGTTACAGGCTTTCAGTAGCTGCGGCGGACGGCGACTGGTTATACACAACATCTCATCCACAATCTCTCTGGTTTGTTTGTTCAGGCAGGTCACCACAGCCTCCTGGACACCTGCACACAGCAATACACCATCAGAAGCCAGCTTACAGCACCCACACAGTCAGTGAAGGGTGGAAAGGCTCCAGCAGGGATCCAGATGGGCTGCTGCAGGGATTGCTGCACATCAGAAGACTCAAGGTTGCCAGTTCAGATATTGCTGCCGAGGCAAGGCTGTTTCCCAAAAGGTAATGAGATGGTTGCCACCAGGTTTCTGAGGATTACCTTGCACACCTTTTCTGACTGTTCAGGGAAAATTCTTAGCTCCTTCCTTCTCCATTTATAAAAAAACAAAAACAAACAAAAACCAACCAACCAACCAACCAACCAGACACCCACACAAACTTTCCCCCAAACACCCTCTAACTGCAGTTCCTGTAGATTCTCATCTATGGTCATACATTGCTCATTGCACATTTTGTATCTCCCTTCCCAATCACCCAGGAAATGGCCTAATTATATTAGTATGCTGGAGGCTGGACCTCTACATGGCTCTTAGTCTTACCACCCAACTCAGATATAGTGGCAAGTGCCTAGGTTCATTTATCTTGTATCTTGTACTGTCAGAAAAGGGACATTTCAAAATACTAGTATTCTCTAGTCACTGATCCTTTGCTATGAATACAACCTTATTTGTCAGTAGAGTGGACTGGGGTGTGAAGATGGCCTAGAATTGGGCATGCTATATTTTAAGCAATTTTAAGTTATGACTGTTCTAAGTGCAAAAGAAAAGTAAAATCAATCCAACTTACACTCAACTGACCTCCTACATCCACAGACCAGCATCTCAGCTGGACATGCAGAAATGCAGAGTGTATCTGAATGCTGAAATAGAAACATGGGTAGCTGCTGGGAGAAGCAGCTGTGAGAAGGTGGAAGACTTGGTCATTATGCTAAATTTGGGAAATGCTTGATGATACCAAATTTCTCCTGTGCTCTTAGGCATGACAGTTACTTATCTCACATTTCCTATGGGTAAAAATAGGACTATTACAATTTTTTGGATCAAAAGGTTAGAAAGCTGGAAGACCAGGCTTTGCAATACTGCACACCCTATGGGTGTAGAGGTCAACGGATACTAATTTGCCTTAACTGCCTAAAAATCTGCAGTGCTTCAGCAAAGTGGAAGTGTGCTCTTTGCAATCAGTGCTCTTTGCAATCATTTTGTGACTTTCTAGGCAAAGATTAGCTGAACTAGCAAATGTATTATTGTACTTAAAAACAATAATTATTTTTCCAAAATATCTCAGAATTTTTGGAGGACATCAATGTTTATACATGTGCCTGTGCTTATGCATGTATGTATACACACACACACACACAATGTTGGATAACCTTGAAGAGCTGCAAAAGCAATGTAATCAGTGTAAGAAAACTGCCAATACCTTTTGCTGTATCTTAAGCCAGAGTGCGTGCCATCAGGCAAACACTGGTATCATATTATTTTACAGGACTGAAGTGCTGCAACTATAGCCTCAATACTATAGTGTGTCTATTAGCACAGTATTCCCCAAATCATTCATGGACTCAGCCCCTAGAGGCTGAGAAGGGACTCACACCAAAGTGGCACGCTGAGTAATTTATTGGCTCCTTTGCAGCTGTACAAGCTTGACAAGCTTGTGCAGGCCTGCACAGAGGTGCTGAACAGAAGGACAAAAAAAAAAAACAAAAAAAACAACAACAAAAAAAAAACAACAAAAAAAAAAGCTTATGGGATGTGGACATTAATGTAGAAATAACCAAAGTCCTTGAAGTCAGCCAATACAGGTGTGCCTTTGCACACTTTTTGATACTCAAAAAAACCTCTCAAGATACTTTTTGAAGATTTCAGTGGGGGATAGCCCACTGAAACAAACAAACAAAAAGTGTCAGGGACTCTTTTCTTGAAGTGGAAACTACACAAATATTTCCACATAAATTTATTCTCTGCCCTTTCATACTCACTATTTTCCAACTCAACCAGTTTTTTGTTTGATGTGTTATTCCGTGGCAGAGGCATATGAATTCCTCTAGGATGGACTACTCCTGGCTGCTGAGAAGAGATGGAGCTCTAATGATGGGATATGTCACTATGTTGAAGCTACTTGTCTCTACTTTGCAGTGATCACCAGTACAGACCTAACAACAAGATCAAAATGACTATTCAGAGGTATGGAAATTTGGAAAATTATTTTATCAAATTGTGGAATGAAACCCATGAATCCTACTGCATGCTGGTGACATTGTTCCATTTGCTAGAGACAAGGCTAATTCACCAGGTTGGCAGTGTTATTTTTTCTTTTCAGATGCAGTTTTTTTAAGTAAGTCAAGTGGACTGCAACAGCTTTGATTCCTCCTCTCCTAAGTGTGCCACAAATGAGCTGCTGACTAGTGATTAACAATTATCCTTCCACCTCCTAAAACTTTCACAATGCATGTTTCAGAGCTGACTAACCAAAAATGATTGACTTTGAGTTCTAGAATACCTCTTCTTCACTTCTCAGAGACATAGTTTTCTTTAGCTCATACAGCCAATCTCTGATACTACTGCTCTTGACCTTTAAGTATTTGACCACCCTCAATCCTCCCAGTGTGTTAATTTCCTACGCTTACTCCCTACGACACCTAAATCATCTCAAATGAGATCAACATTCTTCTCTGCTCATTAGGATTCCCTTTAGGTGAGTCTTATAGTTTCTCTATCTATTAAAGACATCAGGGCAGCCTGTAATCTTGCCTGACAGTATAGGTATTCTAATAAAAGGTACCAGGAAGCATTTAACTAGTTCATGGTTGCTCAGCTGTCTATTGAGAGAGACTAACCCTCCAATAGCTTGTGCTATGAACTAAAGCAACTGGCATGCTCCAGCATGCAAACAAGGGAGCTCAGAATCACTATCCTCAGCTTTTCCTTGACATGAATAACCTCGCACTGAATGCCTCAACATGCTGATAACATCTTTCCTTCTGTTTTTATAGGTCAATATAGCAAGCTTTATTATCAATGGATGGGTCACTGAATATTTATAGCATCTAAAGACTTTCTATTATCTGTCAGAAATTTTGCAGTACAGACATGATTAAAAAAGGGACACATTTCTCCAGTAACTGATTTCTAAGATCTAGTTGCTTAGAACAAAAAGTCTTAGAATTGCTTTCCCTAAAAAAAGAAGTCAATGCTCAATGGGAAATTACAATATGAAAGAGTTCAAGGGTGGGACAGGAATCTAGGCAGTTTAAGTTCACTTTCAAAATACCATCAAATGAGATTTTCTGTGTTTATATCTACCAGAATAGAATAATTGTTACATGATATTTGATGACAGCTCTGGGAAATACAGCCACTAACAGCAGACTAAACGCCTAACTAATTCCTTCTGGTTGCTACTTCTAGGAGGTGAAAGGTTACTTCTGCATCTATCCAATTTCTTCTCTTGAGACTACAAAAACAATAAAATTAGTTTGACCTGTCTTACACCTATGGTTACAAAAATACCTGACTTAGCATCTACTAATCTGAAAAATTTAGAGTTGATGTCAAGGACAGAGAAATCTTGGCTAACTATATTTGCTGACAACTGAAAGGAAAGGTTAAATTTATAAAGTAAAATATGTCTATCCTATCAGAAAGTCTATGCGAGTTGTATTTGAAGAATATACACACAGTCATTCTAGTCACAGCAATGGCTTCAGGAGGCTATTTATAGAAGCTATTCAGGTTTCAAATACGACAAGTCGTCACTGCTAACTATCATCAGGTTCAATATATGACAGATACTTAAATGAACTGAGTGTTTGTCATCACTTAATGTATATTAGCACTGTATATTCTCACATAGAAAATGAAACAACTGTGGTAACGGTCTGACTCTGACAACTGTATATGAACTGCTCTAAATACCAACTACCATCCAGCAAGACAGAGGTAAGCTATGAAAATCTTTGCATCATTTTCTCTTAATTTCATTTAATTTTGTAACTGATTACTGGCAAATCTATACAGAGGAAACTATTGAGCATACATAAATTACTGTGAGGTTTCCAGTTCTACAGCAACTACTCTGAATTTATATATGCAATAACTTTTATTTTCAAGAACCTGTAACTGGTCATGTAAAAAGACAGCAACTGCAAAAGTCTGAAGTTTAAAAATTCTTGAGTGGTCGTATTTTTTAGAATCAGATAGACAAAATGAAGGGAAAAAGTGGATATCAGAGATTGGTGCACTAACACTCCATTATGCTGAACCTAAAACCTTGAATAAATTTCAGAAACTTCAACTACTAAATCTGCTAGTTTCAGGCAACCATATGATGATTATTATTGTTGTTTTTCTTAAGATATACTTTCCCTTTCTTTAGCATCCAGGCTAATATCAGGTTCAGCTAAGGACCTACTGAGCCTGTAGAACTTCAATATGCAAATGCAGTAGCAATGGCAGGACCATTTGCTTTCCACATATTTATGTTTACTGAATGTACATCAAGAGGTAAAAAATAAAAGTGACACCTCATTCTAGCTGGTATAGGATCACTTTAAGATTCACTTCTGAGTGCATATATGACCAGTCAGCTGATATATGGAAACAGTAATCTGAGATTCATTGATCCTTTATATCTAACATGCTGAGCAATGAGACTGAAAGCCCTGGGCCAAATGCACACAGGGTTTTTAGAGTTTGTATTAATGTCTTTTCAAACAGCAGCAGCAAAGCAGCATTTGCAAGAGCATTCACTGCAGAACATACACATGGAGAAAGTAAGCACAGCACCAAAACATTTTGCACTTACCTCCTCCACAGGACTCTGAGCACTGCGTAAAACCCTCATATTCCCAGTCATAAAGCTCATCAAACTCCTGCAAACTGCCATACATCAGGTCCGTTTCCTCTGGATTATACTCAGTTGCCTCCCCGCTGCAGGGACCACTGTAGCAGGCTCGCTGAGACACAGGTTTGGGACCTTCACATTCATCAATGGGCAAGTCAGCCACAGACTGAGAGAAAGACAGGAGCACTTGGCATTTCACCAGCCGAATCTGGCTGCCCACTCCACAGGTGACGCTACAGGCGGACCAAGCCTCAGGAATAAAGCTGTGGCAAGAAGAACGAGAGCACAGTTACATCCATAAACAACAGAGCAAGTGAAAGCAGTAACTCTGTCCAAGAGTGAAAAGCCCAAATTCCACCTAAGGAGAAACAAATGCTTCACCTCAACACACTGCTAGTGTGAAACGCTCACGAAGGCCCTGACATCTTGCTGCCAAACCAATGGCAACAGTGGATGACCTCTCAAGTTCTCATGTGTATACAGGGACTTAGATCCGTGAAAGATGATGCATACTTAAAATGCTTAACTTCATATCAAAAGCTCTCAGTGCAAAGCATCCAGCAATGAGCATCATGATTCTATCAGTTACTTATTTCCAGGGTCTGATCTAAATCATCTTAGCCTAATAGATAGCCTAAGTTTGCTATCACTAAGTATTGAAGAGACTGCTGTCATCACTAGTTGCAATATCCTAGGACAAATAATTTTGGCCATTGTTCCTATAATGCTGTAACTACCTTTAAGTCTTCATTTGAAGCTATAAAAAGAGGAACACACAGTTCCTTGAGCTCTTTGTTCTAACACATTTCATTTCCCTTCCAATTAAAGACATAGTGCTCCATTTTTATTCTGGGTTTTCTCTTTTAAAATTGTGGTTGTTGCTTTTGTGTTTTGGATTAGGAGATCTTGTATTTTTCCCCCGTGAAGGTACTTATATTATTTACTTGAACCACCTTGCAACCCTCCTTTGGATAAGCAAAACAGACTGAATTCTGAGTCTCTTGCTTCTGGTATTTCTCCTAAAAGTATAACAATATCTGCATTTTTATGCCTTGTTACCAGTTTCCAACATCTTAAAAATACAGTACTGGAAATAGGCCTAGAATTTTTCTACAAGTAATATCAAACAGACGTGTCCATACCTCTTTACTACCCACTTTAAACTTACCACAGCTCATATTGAGGAGCTCCTGTTCATGGGAAGCTCATATTGAGGCATGGTGTTTCCTAAATCTTTTGTGACATAGTGCTCCTGTGTGCTCCATGACCTGCATTATTGGTACCCAGATGCCTGGTGATGGTGGCACTAAAGCACTGCAGTAATTAATACATGTTACAGACTGGTCCAGATCACACTGGACTTCATTATTCTGTCAAACTTTCTAGCATGGGAAGATTCCAAAAGCAGTGACTGTATATGTACTTCAAAACCATAAAATTGAATAGTTTTGTCTGGTACAGGTCTTTCAAGAGCATCACAGGGAACTAGCTCTATTAATAAGGTTTTCACATTAATAGTAAGTGTTTGGTATCTGTTACCCACTTCAAAGTGAATGAGTTCTTTACTGATATTTTGCAGTGCTGATCTGGTGAACAGATTTATTTATTTATGGTGACATAGTCAGCTACCTGAAATATATGTTTCATCTCCAAAGCACTGGCATTAGCTAAGTTTTTCATGTAAACCAGAGTTTATAATAGCTATTTTTGATTAAAATATCATCACTAGAATTATCTCTCTCCCTTTGCTTCGCATTTAGACAGCAGAGTTTCACTGCTTTACCTAGGACTGTGGGCAATACACACATCTGTCTATTTTATGGACTATGTTTACTCTAGTTATAGGAAACTGATGCATAGTTCTCACCTTACAAATACCATGCACACTCTCATAAGAAGAAGAAAAAAAATCTATTTAGAGGTCAGCATTTCCAGAAGTGTTTTTAAACACTTCCTTTTTAATCCACTGCCTTTTTCTATATGGCAAAAGGGCTTTCCCACCATTTTGAAAGAAGAGGAAGTCCAAAACTAGGCAGGAAAACTTGTTGTACCTCCCCACCCTCTACTGAAAATGTACATGTCAGGAACCCTGAGCAGAGCAGCACTAGAGCAGGCACTATGCATTGCTTTACCTACAAAAACTCTGTCATCTTGTTATATATTCAGTGTCTCCTGCTAGTACTATAAAGAGGAAGTAACAGAATGGAAAGAAGTGGATAGTATATTTTATTGGAAAATTTTAAACTCTTCCTAATGTTGCTATACAAACCACAAGATCTCTCTTTGGAGCTTTCGGGAAACTTTAATGATGCAAAGTGATTCCATTTCCCTATTCTGAAATGTTTTATCATACTAATGTAAATAAATACTCAATCATCTTTTAAATTAGATACTTTTCATTTTGAAGGTGTTATGTCTTTCAATATATAGAATAGCCATTCATTTTCTCTAAAACTATGCTACTGTTGTAGTACTACTTCGATGCAGAAAACTTCCTGTCACAGATTGCGGTGTGGCTTACCTACGTGTCTAAGCGTGACTTAGATACTTTGGTGTTTTAAATGGATAGCTTCTTGACCTGACAAGCTAAAAAGTAGACAGTGTAATGAGGTTATAAAAAGAGACTCTGGATATGTTTATTAGACATTGTTTTACTCTTATTTGTCAACATTAGGAATTGTTGTGTAATTTAGTTTTGTTGAAGATCATCTGTATTCCAAACCAAGGAAGACTGTATTTTTTCAGTGATTACATCTTCTCAGAGAGACTTTATACACCCACAATATTTACGCATTGTGTATGTCACACATACAAACGCACGGGAACAAAAGAGAGCAGGAGTGAAAAAGAAGCAGAACATTAATAAACCAGACTGGATTCTTTTTGAAATAAGAGTTGATCTGTACATACCACATATTACTATTATATTATTTCACCCTAGTCAGCAATTCATAATGAAAACATTGGAATACCTTCAGGAAATTATATTTTATTCAGCTTTCTAGGCCCAGGTTCTATATTCTAAGTGATAAATTTGGAAGTGATAAATTCTAATAAACCGCTGTCTGCTAAACACAGGCAACTGGTAGAGTTAATGGAGTTGAGAGCAGAATAGAAAAGAACAAAGAAAGAAAAAAGACAATTAGAAAAACAGAACAAAATCTTCATATAGCAGTGCCATTAGAAACTAAACATTTACGAAATGTGAATGTATAATATATACACTAGTTCTGAATTTTCCGTCATCTGAAAAACAGGAAATCACAAAAGCCTTTCAGATATCTTTGTGCAATCATTAATGGTAAATGTTGCCACATGGCTAGCACAAAATAAGGTATGGTAATAGCAGGCAGTCAAATCCACAGTTTTAAAGTTAGTTATTCCACATGTAATGTGTCTTCTGTGTGACACTGTACTTCTCTGTTTGCTAACAACTGAGTCTTCTTTGAAGACAGAAGTGGTGGAGAGAAGTAGATACTTTAAAATATAGGGAAAAATGGAGTTAAGATGGCACAGTATAGTGTTTAATAAAATGCTTCTTTTATAGTAATCCCTGTAATATCCATAATAAATAAGACAAAAGATTTACTGGTTGTAGTGATGTTGCCATACTAGCTATGTGTCAGAACTCTGTTGTGCTAGTTATGGCACAAATGATAATAATAATAAAAAGATGACTCCTGCCTTCATATTACAGTGAAGTATTTTAAATCTCTTAGTTTACTTCTCAGTGATTAGCACGTTACTGTTGCATCAAAGGTAACCTTAGTTTGTTCTTCTGCACAGCAAAAATGGCAGCATTTACTCCTGAGGAGAAAATTGCAGATAGTAAGTGTGCTGTGAAAGCACTGCTGAATATTTTAAACATGGTTCTTTTGATCCCGTTTTGAAGAGATCACTACTAGGTGCAGAAGAGAAAATGAGAGGAAGGGAAAATCATGACATTGCTGTGCTGGCCGCTACTGAGCTGCTGGAGCACTGCAGATACTGTGGAGCTAAAGGGCAACTCATCAGTCCCACTGGGCACCTCCACAGGCAGCAGCACTGACATTTGGGGAAAAGTGCTGTGATGGTTACAGTAGTTTCCTTGACCTGTGGGAGCTTATTGTGATGGACCAACAACCTTTTGCTGTTACAGCACACCCTTGCAAAATAGTGAGTAGAGGGTTTAAAAGAAGCATGGTATTTTTCAGCAGCATTTTCTGGCTGTTGCTGTTTGACGAAATATACAAGTACACACACTTGCCCTGTTCAGTTCTGGGCAACTGAGGACAATTCTCATATTCAGATTCTAGTATCCACATTTGCACATGAGAACACCTCTTTATTATTCAAATAACAGTTTCTCTAATATTTTGTAAAATTGCTCTATTTATATTATAACAAAGAGAATGCAATTAAAAATGCAGCTCCTGTAGTCTAAAATGTGCAGTGCAATGATTGTTTATAAAAGTAACCAAAATTATGTCAAAATTTAAACTGTGAACAATGATGACAATGCCGTTCTTATGATGGCAGTAATTTGCCCTTGGAACTCTGGACACAGCTGAGGATTGCTGTCTATTCTACTGCATGAAGCAACATAAACGTAATTGTGAAAGGAAAAGAAAAAGAATAAGAAGATTCAAGATAATGAGAGACCTTCCATCAACTCCCATGGGTTTAGGACAAGATGTATACAGAGCCCTGCTGAGCTTTATAAAGATCTCCAGAATACTTTATGTACATTTCCACAAACTCAGTCTAGGATTTGAGTTCCTGCAATGTTGAATTCTGAAATAAAAGAAGTCTATGCAGATGAGTGTCATTTAGTTACCCATCTGTTAGAGAAAAAAATAACGCGTTTCCTCACTACAACCAAATTATGTGTTGTCTTTTCTCTTTAATGCTATTTATAAAATCAATCCATGGTTCAGCCAAAACCTGAGGTTTAAAGAATGACACATACTGGTAAGATCTGATCTTCAGAGGCACAAACACCCAGGCATCTTTAAGGCATCTAAAGTTATGTACTACTGGGGAAACAACGTGTTAAGTAAGTTGTTTGTCCAAAGACTCAGAAATTTTCTGAGTTAGAAGAAGTGGGAACTGAACTCTGATCTCCATCCTCCTCATCCTGAGCTCTCCTCCCTCTCCAGGAGAGGCCACCATTCTCCTGGAGTAAGTACAGAACAAGTATAATACTGCAGGATGCTCACACAGAGCACTGAATAGCTTCTGGTGCCATCGTTTGGAGAAGTGAAATAGGGGTCATGACCACTTGTCAATCTCCATCTGTGGGAGGAATGGCACTGAACCCAGCTGCATAGGCCCCGTTATAATCTGAGTGATTGCAATTTGTCCCTTTAGAGTTTCCTCTTAATTTTGTTTGAGTATGACCTTTTCCTTCATCCTTGCAGCAATCCATTTTGTTCTATTGCTTCTCTCCTCTAGTCCACTGTTCGTTTTTCCCTAGGGTATAAATCCTATGTAGTGGCAACTCTCTAGAGCAATTGTCTGAATGAAAAGATAAAAACCGTTACCTAATGTTAGGTTGCCTTACTTTCCTGCAGCTGACCACACTGATTTTCTCATTGAGTGCAGTAAGAGCTTGATATGGAAAAGTAAAAAAATATTTTGCAGGCAGATTTAAAATCACATTTAATGTGTGAATTAGATACAAAGATCAACATGGAAACTATTTAGCAGAAAAAAAAAAGAATGAAATACCTTACACATCTTTGGAAACACAAATACACACTGAAAAGTAAGAAACAGATATTGGGTGACTCTGACACACTGGCCTCTCTGTCCATATCCAGGCCCCTGAGGGCGTCATTCCCTCTGATGCATGTCAGGAATTTCCTTTTGTTTCTTCCTGAACCATCTCCATCACTAAGATGGTGCCATCTGGCATCCAGATATTGTCTGCCTTCTTTTTTCCCCCTCTTTTTATGACTAGCACGAAGGTCATCTATGGTAATATGCTAAAAGCCAGGCACAATGTTAACATACAAAAGTATTTTTTGAGAGTTGGAGACAGAAATCTAAGCCCACGCCTCTCCCCTCATAAAAACTAGTTTGTTATACATAGAAAAACCCCATGCCTTTCTAATCACGACTGCTGCTTGTTCTGTCTCTTGCTGTCATGCTTTGCTGGCGTAATGATCCCGAGGGAGAGTTCAGATAGATAGTGTGGCTGCTGCCTTACACAACACATTTCTGAGTGGGGAAATGGTCATTTTAGAGATGGATCTTGACAACAGCACAACCCAAGTGACAGTACAGGACAACAAGGACTGCTCATCTTACACTGTTGTCCTACGAAAGATCACAATATTTTCCTTCCCATCGAGATTATTTTATAGCAGTTCTGTCAAAAAATAACATTTAATTGGCTCCATTTAGACATGCAGCAAGTTGGACAGAACAGTCCCCACAGCTGCCTCTAGGCTTTAAGTGGCCAAGTCAGTTACAAGTAAATCCTTGAGCAGCTGAACTAATGAGAACTGATTTAATATGACAGAACATGGATTTGTATTTGAAAACTGAGCACCCAGGTGGTTTCCTTAAAGGTGACCCTAAAGGACCGAGCTCACATTTGGCCTTTATTTCAATTGGGAATTATTGGGTGTCCTTTTTCTATGTAGTTGCCTAGTTCCATGAAGCACGTGGTAAACTACTACCACTGAATGTCTTGTGAATATTAACCAAATTTGACAGAGGGGTAAAGTTCTCTGTGATAACTTTTTCTCTCTGTTAATTTCAGATAATAGTAATAAAACCAGACATTATTGAGAGGAAGGCAAATGACAGTCAGACATATACAGACAAAATGAAACTATAAGATGTGCTGCCTTTGGAAATTCCTAAAGAACTAAATAATGAAAGGCATTACACACAGAGCAGTGAATGATTATAAATTACAGGTGGATGGACAATGTAACAAAAACGTCCAAGTTCATAACTTATGGTTTGTCATTTCACAACAAAAATCTCAATCAATACAGAGTTATAAATTCACATCTTCACATTCACAATGCAGCTGACAAAGAAGGATTTTGAAGCTCTAAAAATGACATCAAAATTGGTTGATTGCATCTTGATGGCTTCTAGAGGCTTTTTTTTTCTGTTTTTTTTTTCTTTTTCTTTTTAATGTAATAATAGACTTTTTTTTTTTTTTTGGTGAATTACCAATCTAACTATTTCCATGAGGACCTAAAATTAGTATATGATTCAACTTAGACATTAACAGAAAATGTTAGTACTGAGATACTGAAATAGATTGTATATGTAAGTTCCCTACTCAATGTTGTTATGAAAAGACTAGCTATTCTCAGGAATGTTATGCATATGGCTGTTACTGCTTAAAGATGGGTATTGCATTGACAGCCTTTCAGCAGACTTTTTTTTCTAAGTTTTTATTTATTGTTTCTGGCTCATGCATTATCACTAAAATTGCTTCCAAACCAAAACCAAGACCTGGATATCTTCAAGCTTTGGAAAAGCTTGAACAAAGACCCAGACTTTTTAGTCTTTTGTTTTAGCTATTAATCATCGTGCATAAAAATTCACACTTGAACAAAATTTGACACTGTGTTCATTCTGCACGAAAGTTAAATTCATGCTCCCAGAGTTGGGCTTAGAAAGAAAGAAAGAAAGAAAAAAAGGAATTATAAAATGTTACACCATGACAGAATTAACCAGGACAGTGTCACAGCTGTATTGGTATTCCACTGTTGTGAACAAAGTACTTGTCTAAGATGGAGTAAATAGATAAGGAGTAAGTACCCCATGTTTTTCAGACGAAGTAATGAGATAAATGGATAAGGACATCTGAATAAGGAAGCGTAATGGGGTCTTTAGTTCAATGCAGAGGTAAGTTGAGTGAGAAGGTGTCATCTGCTGTTCAGATATTCTAAAACATCTAAGTCATTTTCCTTTTATATCACACAAGGTCTGTTTTAATACCATGAATAATATACCAATGGATTTTCCAGAGTGCCTTAATAAAACAGAATTCATGAGATAAAAAACCTCTTTAGCATTCTCTTCAGCTTCTTTCTTCTTCTTACAGGACCTTGTCATCCACAACCCTTTGTTGCTAACACAGCCACATATAAACATTACTATACTATTTTTCTATAGCAATATCAATGTTTCTTAATAAAATTTATTTTAAATGTTTTGTCATTCTACAGAATTGCTCTTTTTTCAGATAAAACATAGGCTGCATTTCTAATTATAACCTTGTTTTTTTTTTCTTCTGATAAACTTCCTGACTGTACACCATTTTCTTTATGCTTCCAAGAGTTATAGTTTGCTAAATGTGCATTAAGATAACTAGTTTAATATACAGTGTTAAAAGTCACAACACAAACTGCACTTATTTTGGAATCATAAGATTTTCTGAACTTTGCCTGTGAGGGAATGAATTTATGAAGTCTGTAGGACTCTGAAGAGAGTAATACATCCATCCCATTATACTATTTGCTATAGCTGGTACTAATATATAAACAGATATGAATGTGTACGTATATAGGCATGTATATTTGCATGTGCATGCATATACATATTTAGGAATATATACGAGAGAGGATTTAAAAACTGGGGACACATACAATAAATCTTACATATCCAACATATATCAATTATATATCCAACCATAAACTACTTCAGATAAACCATGCCAAAATTTCACCTCTGTTGCCTAAAGAATAATATTTATTAGTCTAATGAACAGTTGTATTTGCATTGAGACAGGGTTATGTATTTCAGGTAGCTCTAATGTGACTGCTAATGTCTGCCACCCAAATGGATCTGTGATAGGATGAAGACAAACATTAAATTAAATTAAATGTTAACACGATGCAGGCTGAGATCAGTCTCGCAGAAGTGGTTGAGCAAAGACCAGTGGTTAGAAAGTGGTTAGAAAAGCAGGGAGGGGAAAATCCCTGCAACAATGAGGTAAGTGAAGGAATCTAAACCACAGCGATGAAATTTCTAGTTTATTTTCTGCTAAAAGTAATTTGCTTCACTTGCTATTATTACAGTGTTCTTTCACGGGTATGGGGGTAGAAAATCCTCGCTGGCTGCCCTATATTTTGCCTCTGACTACTCAAGGGCATTGTGAGACTAAGAAAAGATGTAAAGGTGCTCATATACACTGGTAAAGGGGATCGTATAACTACCTTAGATAGACTCTCACTGTAATATTATTGTAAATGACCTGAAATAAAACATGCATATATTCATTCAAATCCAATCTGTTATTTGCCCTCTTGAACTCTGTTTCTTTATACCTGAGCCTGATACAACCATCACTTACACAAACTGAACTCCACAGAATTACATTTGGCCCTATATTCAAATGAAAGCCAAATACATTTTCAAGACACTCTTAGCTCAGCAAAAGCTCCAGACACCCATGTTGCAAGAACCTGTTTTGAAAAAATTTTTAGGACTTACGATGGTTCTTCAGACACCACTGCTCCTTCTTCCAGCTCCTGAGCCTGCTTATACCATGGCAACTTTGCTTCCACGGGAATTTTCTCTACGGAACATAGAAAAACACATGAAAATACAAATCATGCAATAAAGTTTGCTTTCTTTCTGTCACTGCATAGACTGGTAATGCACATCTGTGTCCATTCATATGCAGGCTGACCACAAAAAAAAGAAAGAGGAGCAAGAGAGAAAGAAACTCCATTATTGCCTAGATCATAGAGATTATGAACTTATGAGGTTAGACTGTTATAGGTAGAAATGTCATGGTATTCTAATGCTAGAAAGGCATATTAAGTAACTCTGTGGAATATCCAACTGGGCTACAAAAATAGTCATGTTAGTAAGAAATTTTCAAAGGGAGACTTGAAAGTATAATGGCCATCAACTGCACACTGCAATGGCAAGTTATAGAAAAACCCTGCTGTTATCCTTATATTTTAGAACTTCAGAAGATACATTAAACCTGTTTTTGATAGATTGCAAAAATGAAGAAAATCTTGATTTAATGAGTGATAGTCCAAAAAAAAGGAGAGAAACTACAGCAAAATAGTTCAATTATACTTTTCAACTTTAAGCATATCAGTTCATCAGGTATGTGGGTTTAAAAAAATGAACTGGATACTTTTTCTGTCATTTCTGATGGAAAACAGCAGAGTTGTTTTTTTCTCCCTCCAGGATATGCAAAAAGTATAATGAGTTGCTCTTTTCTGGGGGATGTAGAGGCATTCCACCCTGAAGCCAAATCCCGCTTTCATACAGTGTCAGTGGGGATGGAGTACTGGAACTGGAGACAGTGGAGCTGTTTTAGCTCTACAGGAGTATAAAGTAAGAGCAAATTTGGCACTATTATTTGAGAATGAGCTCTGCAATTCAACAGAATATTCTGGGCTAGGATCAGGGTAAAAAAAGAGGAGG